ACCTTGTTATCCTTTACTCTGTTGCTGTCTGTTCTGGTTTCTTCACTCTCACTGCTGTCACTTGGAAATTCCTTTTATATCCGTTCCAACAGCAGAGGCAACAAAATTAGTTCATTCAAACGCACATACTACTTTGAAAGCAGCCAATCAAACCAGACCCATTCATTCAGTAATGTTCCCTTCTAATTAACAGTTTGTTGGCTTGCTTCCCAACTTGCAAAAATAAACTCCTCGCCCAAAAATAACAGAGGCCTCAGATAGATGGTTACCCAGTACTCCAACAGCTAAATGCTCAGGGAATAGAAATCTGAACTTGTTGAGTCCAGTTAAGAGTCATGGGTTCGTCATTGCAACAACTCTAATTCAAGCCTTGTTCCATACCTAACACTTGCCTGACTGAATGAATAATGCAAGTGAAGATTTATTCTGTCTATTGTTAGGTGTGGTTTTGAAATTGGGCAGCACTTGTTAAACAAGCCTGACTGAGGTAATGGCAAACTAATAGCCACCTTAACATAATCAGTCATGTCAGTTCTGGTCACCCTGTTACAGGAAGGATATTATTAAACTGGAGAGGGTTCAGAAGAGAATTACCTAAATGTTACCAGGTATGGAAGGTTTGAGTTATAAAGAAAGCCTGGATAGGCCAAGACTATTTTTCACTGGAGCATAGGAGGTTGAGAGGTGACCTTATAGAAGTGTATAAAATAATAAGGGGTATAGATAGGGTTAATGGTAGCTGCCTTTTCCCTAGGATGGGGGATTTCAAGACTAGGGACACACTTTTAAGGTGAGAGAAGAGAGGTTTAAAAAAGACGAGGGACAAATTTTTTATCCTGAGGGTGGCTCGTGTGTGGAATGAAATTCCTGCGGAAGTGGTGGGTGTGGGCACAATTACAATGTTTAAAAGACATTTGGATAAGTACATGAATAGGAAAGGTTTGGAGGGATATGGGCCAGGAGAAAGCAGGTGGGACTAGATTAGTTTGGGATTACGTTCGGCATGGGGTGGTTGGACCGAAGGGTTTGTTTCCTTGCTGTACGACTATAACTCATAATATGGTTTATTTCGGCTTCTTAGAAGGGCTAGAGATTCATATGATGGGGACCACTGTCTTCAAATAAATGTGGTCAAGCATTGCTCAATTTTTGGATTAGTTTACATTTCCATGTAGCTTTCACGACTTCAATTTAGAGTTGACTTGTCAACCCACAAGCACTGTCTTCTCCCATGCTGTGAATCTTGTGCTCATTTGAAATTTGGTGTACTTGCAAAGTGTCCTGATGGATGCTGGATGACAAGTTTCAGCAACAAATATCTCTTTTCAGCAATATTCAAGACTTATTCCACATGCCATTTGTGGAGTATTATCCCTGGGAACTTTCAATGGAGCAGAGTATAGAAAGATTAACCGCCGTGGTCAATATTATGCTACAGCCAATTTGGGAACCCCTAAGTAGCGTTAGTCATTGTTTAGTGAGTGGGACAATGGAGTCAATTCCATAGTATGCTATCAAAAAGTGGACTTCAGAGACTCCCCAACCTCTATGAATGGCATCTTCCAAATCCATGACCACTTCCATCTTGAAGAACAAGGGCAGCAGACACATGGGAACACAACCCCTTGCAATTTCCGCTCCAAGCAGCCTGACTTGGAAATATATCACTGCTCCTTCACTGTCAATTGATCAAAATCCTGGAATTCCCTCCCTAACGGCATCATGAGTCTACATCCAGTATATGGACTGCAGCGGTTCAAGAAGGCAGCTCACCCCAATCTTCTCATGCGGCAAACTAGGAATAGGCAATAAATACTAGCCCAACCGCACATGCTAAGAATAAATATGTAAAAGATGCTGGAACCCTTCAAATCGTGCTCAATTTCAAGACTCGAATACTCAGATGTAACACAGTCTAATCATACTGGATGTGATGCAGAGGAAGAGACTACGTGGCACTCTATGGGATAGAAATTACCACAGCTCAATCCAACGCAGATGTCACGTGAAGCCTGTAAAATATTTCTATTCCTCAAGGTAACATCCTTGAATATCTGAGAGTCACTGAACCAGAGTTTACTCTTTGCTACCAGAGGGCAGGGTGATGAAACAGGCAAAAGAGGGAAAGAATGTCAGTGTTCGACATTATTTAGAACCACACTCTACCTACTGAGCCAGCTGAGCGAACCAGCCCTCCACAAGATAATAAGGTGAACCAAATTGAGGATAAATTTAAATCCAATATGTCGAATTCTCTGGTAAACAGCTTTTCCGTTAATTATTTATTTTATACCTCTGGTCCATGATGTCAACTTTGATGTTCGTCAGCTGGAGAGAGTATAGTGGAAAAGGCAGGCTGTCTTTCTGTTGTGAACTGCATAACTATAGAACTCTTGTAAAGGGGACATTTTATTAAACCAAACTTGGAGCAGTTCCAATGCTGCTTGCCAAAGGTTACTGAGGAGGTTTTAACAAGAAATAAATCTCATGCCTTGGAAAATTCCTAAGGCTGTTGCATTTATATCTTGCAAAGTAGTTTTCTTTTCCTTCTGAGCATTATTCCAACCCATGACACCACTAATCACTGTATAACACATTACATTGAGCTGAAAACACAAAAACAGGCCATTCAGCCCAAAACTGGTTCCTTCTAGATTTTATGCTCCAACTGAGGTTCCACCAAACTTAGTCTCATCAAAATCCATCAACTTAACCTTCTATTCCTTTCTCCCTTGTGTATTTTTTTAATCAGCTTCCCTTTAAATGCATCAGTACATTTCACCTCAACTGCCAGTTGTGGAAGTGAAAATAATTTTTACAAGTTCAATTTCTCGCATCAGCAGATTATTTGTGACAATCGCAAAGATGGTAAAGGTGAACTATAAGGAGGATGTCAGGCTGAGGACTTCACTTAACAATTTTAATAGACTAGTTACAGAAAAACAACATCTTTTTGGTGGACAGACAAGAACTAAAGATTTACTTTAATTGCCAAAAAATAATCAAGGAGGGAGATAAGACGCAGGGAGCTGTTGTGATCTGGAATGTGCTGGGAGTGGATTCAGCAAGAACTTTCCAAAGGAAATTGAAGACTTAAAAGTAAAGCGGCACAGTGGCTCACAGCGCCAGGGACCCGGGCTCGATTCCAGACTTGGGCGATTGCCTGTGTAGAGTTTACACATTCTTTTCTATTTTCACTATTCATTTGTGGGATGTAGGCGTCGCTGGCTCCGCCAACGTTTATTGCCTGTCCCTAGTTGCCCTTGAGAAGGCGGTGGTGAGCTGCCTTCTTGAACCGCTGCTTTCCACCTGCTGTAGATTGACCCACAATGCCCTTAGGGAGGGAATTCCAGGATTTTGACCCAGCGACACTGAAGGAATGGCGATATATTTCCAAGTCAGGATGGTGAGGGGCTTGGAGGGGAACTTGCGGGGGGGGTCCCATGTATCTGCTGCCCCTTCTAGATGGAAGTGGTCATGGGTTTGGAAGGTGTTGTCTAATGGAACATCACTGTTGCAAGTCCCTCTTCCCCTCTCCTACCTTATCCATTGGGACAAGAACCCCAGCCTCTCCCCTATACCATCCCCACCTCATTGTGATAGTTCCTTTACTACCTTGAAGGTGGTGGTGTTCCCATACGTCAGCTGCCCTTGTCCTTCTAGATGAAAGTGCTCGTGGGTTTGGAAGGTGCTGTCTGAGGGTCTTTGGTGAATTTCTGCAGTGCATCTTGTAGACAGTACACATTGCTGCTACTGAGAGTCGGTGGTGGAGGGAGTGGATGTTTGTGGGTGTGGTGCCAATCAAGCGGCTGCTTTGTCCTGGATGGTGTCAAGCTTCTTGAGTGTTGTTGGGGCTGCACCCATCCAGGCAAGTGGGGAGTATTCCATCCCACTCCTGACTTGTGCCTTGTAGATGGTGGGACAGGCTTTGAGGAGTCAGGAGGTGAGTTACTCACCACAGTATTCCTAGCTTCTGACCTGCTCTTGTGGCTACATGTGTTTCTCCCCATGTCTGTGGGATTTCCTCCCACAGACCAAAGATGTGCAGGTTAGGTGGATTGGCCATGCTAAATTTCCCATAGTGTGCAGGCCAGGTGGGATGGCCATGGGAAAAGTAGGGTTACAGGGATTGGGTAGGGGCGTGGATGTGGGAGGGATGCTTTTTGCATGGTCAGTGTAAACTCGATGGACCGAATGGACTGTAAGGATTCTAAAGTAGAAAAATGCAAGATCGTGGAAGCCATGAGAGAAAATTCCTTCTAATTAAACGTCAGGAAGTGTGAAGAAAGTTGATCCCTGCTACAAACTCATTTTCCCAGCCACGGAGAGCACCCTCTGATGACTTACAGCCACTTGTGTGCACAGGGAATCCAATTCTTTGCCATTCTGGTGTTGTAGCTGAGCTAAACTTTGTAAACACACATCCGTGGCAATACCAAGTGTGCTCATGCCCCGCCCCAAAACATTCCCATACCTCCAATCCTGACACACTACGGAGCACAAAATAGGAACAGGAGAGGGTCATTCAGCCTCCCGAATCTGATCCATGTTCAGTACGACTAGTCTGACTTTAACCTCAACTCCACAATACTGCCTACCCCTGATAACCTCTCATCCCTAGTCTTAATCACAATCTGTCCACCGCCATCGTGAAAATATTCAAGGACTCAACCTCCACCACCTTTTCAGGCAGATAGTTCCAAAGGTGACGACCCTCTGAGAGAAGAAAATTTGTCTTTGTTTTAAATAGGTGACCCTTGATTTTTGAATTAAGAATCCCTAGTTCTAGATTCTCCAATAAGGTGAAGCATTGTTTCCAGATCTACCCTGTCAAGACCCTTCAGGATCTTATCTGATCCTGAACATGTCCATCTGATCATCCATGCCTCTGCTACCACAAGAATCAACTGTTCCAACACTCTGCTGCTTTGTCTTCCATGTTACACCCCTTTGTAAATGTCAGCTCTTCCAAGGCTGTTTTCTTTCTATCGCATAGCAAACCTTGTTCACCATAAACCATCCATCCCACCAACCACACCTATCAAATTAGTTCCAAGCTTCAATTTCAAGTTTCTTATTTTTGCTTTCAGTTCGTTCTGTGGGTTCGCTGCTCCCTACCTCTGTAACGTCATCCAAACTTATAGCTGTCTCAGGTCTCTGTGCCCCTCCAGTTCAGGGCCCTCCCTAATTTTAATTGTGCCATCATTGGGAGCAATGCCTTCAGTTGCCTATGCCCTAGGCTGGGAATCTCCAACTTAAACCTTTCTGGCTACCTGTCTCTCCTTATGCTTCTGAAACCTGACCAAATTTTTTTTTAAACTTAGTTAAATCTCCTTTTAACCTGTTCTTCTCTAAGGAGTCTAATCCCAGCTCCTCTAGTCTCTCCACATTCACTGAAGATCCCCAGCTCTATTGCCATTCTAGTAAATTATCCATCGTGACCCTCTTGACATCTACTTCTATTGATTTATTTTTGTAAATGTAGAAAGATATTCATTCATGGAATGTGGGTGTGAATGGCTAGGCCAGCATTTACAGCTCTTCCCTCATTTCCCAGAGGGCAGTTAAGAGTCAACCACATTGCTGTGAGTTTGGAGTCACGAATAGGTGAGGCCAGGTAAGGATGGCAAATTTCCTTCCCTAAAGCGCTTTAGTGAACCGGATGGATTTTTACAACAGTCATTTCATGGCCAGCATTAAACTCTTAACTTATTGAATTCAAATTCCATCATCTGCTGTGGTGGGTTTCAAACTGGGGGCATTATCTGGGTCTCTGGATTAATAGTCTCATGATATTGCCACTAGACTGAATGATTAACCTTCACATGTTGACTTTATTTAATACATGGTCATGGAACAAAAGGTTTTGCTGACATTTGGGTGGGTTGTGGGCGGTGGCAGGGGTGAATTTACAGGGAACTTCAATCTCCTTATGCAGATGCCAGTGTCATAATGACCATGTAACTAATGTCCCTTTAGGGAGTGAAATCCGCCATTTCTAGCCAATCTGACTACATGTGACTCCAGACCCACAGCAATTGAGTTGACGCTTAACTGCGCTTTGAGATGGCTGAGCAACCTACTTAGTTTGAGGGCAATTAAGGATGGCCGATAAGTGCTGGCCCAGCCAACAATGCCCACATTCCATAAAGAGATGTGGAGTAGTAAAGGAAAGAAATTTAGATTCTTTTAGCAGAGAGACTGACAGATCAAGTTGAGTGGTCCCTCCTCAACACCCCAGAAACAGATGAAAATGATGACTGTAAATAAAATCAATGTGTTAAGGGGAAACACATCAGAGGGCAGCTGCAGCATCTACATATGAATCAGACAATATCAGAGCTGCATTGAGACAATGGTCTTCAGTCATCTCAGCCTTGAAGGGGTAGCGAGGGGGTGGGGGGGGCACTGTGTCTGCACCTGCCTCTAGGCTCGATGCAGTGGCTCGGTGGTTAATACTGTTTTCGCCATTGAGAGGTGATAGTTTCAAGTCCAATCGTGCAGACAGGAGCATAAGAATTCCAACTGACTCTCCCAATGCAGTACCGAGAGAGTGCCACGCTGTTAGCAGTGCGTGTTTTTTTTTAAACAGTCAACCTGTCTACTCTCTGACCTGGAAGCAAACAATCAACGGCACTATTTCAGAAGAGAGAGCATGGGCGTCCTGCCTACTGTCATTGATAAATCCCCTCACCAATATTATTAAAACAGATTGTTCAGTCAATATCACATTGCCATTTGTGTGTAAATTGGCTGCTGCATTTCCTGCATTACAATAGTTACTTCATTGGCTGAAGTATTTTGGAATGTCCTAAGTCATAAAATCATAGAGTTGTCCATACTGACCAGATATCCTAAACTGATCTAGTTCCAATTGCTGGCATTTGGCCCATATCCCTCTGAAACCTTCCCATTCATAAATCTATCCAGATGCGTTTAAAATGTTATAATTGTACCAGCTTCCACCACTTCCTCTGGCAGCTCATTCCATACACGTTCCACCCTCTGCATGAAAGAGTTGCCTCTTCAGTCCCTTTTAAATCTTTCCTTTCTCACCTTAAACCTATGCCCCTCTAGTTTTGGACTCCCCCACTCCAGGGAAAAGACCTTGTCTATTCGCCCTATCCATGTCCCTCATGATTTTATAAACCTCTATAAGTCAGGCCTCAGCCTCTGATGCTCGGGGAAAATAGCCCCAATCTATTCAGCCTCTCCTTATAGCTCAAACCCTCCAATCCTGGCGACATCCTTATAAATCTTTATTGCGCCCTTTCAAATTTAACAACATCTTTCCTATAGCAAGGAGACCAGAATTGAATGGGGTATTCCAAAAGTGGCCTAGATTGTAACAGTCTGGATAGGGGAAGTTGGTGGCACAGTGGTGGCATCACTAGACTGGTATTCTAAAGGTGCAGGTTAACACGGGGGGTTCAAATGCTGCCAAAAAAGCTGCCAGAATTGAAATGCAATTCCTAAATTGTTATCAGTAATGATGACCATGAAACCATCTTCAAATGTCAAAGAATCCATCTGATCCATTAACAAAAACTGAAATTGCTGGAAAAACTCAGCAGGTTTGAAAGTTTCTGTGGAGAGAAAGCAGAGTCAATGTTTTGGGTCCAGTGACCCTTCTTCAGACTGGATAGCCATTCACTATTGCCCTTGAAGTGGGCAAATGCAAAGTCACCATAATCCCAGAGGTTGCTCTCTCATTAGAGAGTCATCAGACAGCAGTTTAACTTGAGCGTCAGGACCCCTCAGGTGAGGGGAAGAGGTTGAGAGAGAGAGTCCTTCATGGTAACCTCAGCCTGTGTAGGAATTGAACCCACACAGCTGGCATCACTCTGTATCACAAGTCAGCCATCCAGACAACTGAGCTAAGTGACTCCCATTAATTGTTCAACCAAGGTTCTGTCTGTCCTTAAAATTGGAAATAATAAAAGGAAATGCTGAAATTGCATTCTATGGAAAAGCCAATAGCTTGGCTGTTTCCTGTCACTGGTGAACGCTCCATGACAATAGGGGTGGCATGGTGGCTCAGTGGCTCAGTGGTTAGCAGTACTGTCTCACAGCGCCAGGGACCCGGGTTCAATTCCACCCTCGGGCTGTCTGTGTGGAGTTTGCACGTTCTCCCCATGTCTGCGTGGGTTTCCTCCAGATGCTCCAGTTTCCTCCCACAAAGATGTGCAGGTTAGGTGGATTGGCCATGCTAAATTGCCCATAGTGTCCAGGGATGTGTAGATTAGGTGGGTTAAAGGGGGATGGGTCTGAGTTGAATGCTCTGAGGGTCATTGTGGACTTGTTGGGCCACAGGGCCTGTTTCCACACTGTAGGGATTCTATGATCTATGAACAGCTCTACCAATTAGAGCCCACTTTCCAACCAATCAGCACCCTCTTCTCGTGCAGGATAAATTGTTGTTCCCTTTGAGATTTTGTATTCTTGCTATTCTGTCCTGAAATATTAACACAACTTCTCTCTCCACAAACACTGACTGTTCTGTTGAGCATTTCTTTTTATTTCGCTCATGGATTATGGATATCACCGCATGGGTCAACCATCATATTTGGGGCAACTGTTCAGTTGGAGCACATAGGTCGTGACAAGCAAACTAACCTTTTCTGTGTTTAAGCATCCGTTTTCTCTGCAGAGCAGTACATGCATTTTTTTTATTCATGGAACATGAGTGTCATTGGCTGGACCAGTATTTATCGCCCGTCCCTAGCTGCCCCCTTGAGAAGGTGGGGGTGAGCTGCCTTCTTGAACCACTGCAGTCCATGTGCTGTAGGTAGACCCACAATGCCCCTTAGGGAGGAAAGTTCAGGATTTTGACCCAGCGACAGTGAAAGAATGGCGATATGTTTCCAAGTCAGGATGGTGAGAGGCTTAGAGGCGAACTTGGAGGGGGTGGTATTCTAGTTTTTTTTTTAACTGGTCTGCCCTCTAAGATCACATAGAAACTATTCTAAAGAAGAACAAGGGAGTTCCCCCTATAGCCTGAGTCAATATTTATCCCACTACCAACAACACCACAAGTCATTTCGATGGTCATTTTAAAATTGTTATTTATGGGAACTTCATGCACGCAAACTATCTGTCGAATTTTTATGCTTACATCAGTGACTACAGTACCACAATGGGCCCAGGAGTTAACATCAGCTGAGTTAGTGTAAAACTTTGTAAATTAGTAGGCTGCAAAATAATTTTAAAATGACAGGGCATGAGACCCAATGATGTCTTCAGTGTGATAGAAATTAGCAGCTACATAAGATTTAGTTATAAATACAAACTTGATTATACGAAAGACATAGTAAACACCAATTTATTTTTCCTCAAATAACTTTTCCTTATATTCAGCATTTAAATGAAGTAACGTGGAAGAGAAGGAGGCCATTTAGCTCCTATGCCTGTTCCACTAGTCAATGAGATCATGACTGGACTATTATCAG